GAGAGAAGGGGGCATAATTGAAAGATGTTGCAGAGGTGACATCAACAGATCCTGGCTAGATATTGGGGGGTGGGGGAACGGGGAGAGTGAAAGAGTCCAGGGTGACATCTGGGTTGTGACAGACAGGCTGAAGTGGCAGTACTTTACTCAACTGAGAAAGTATTCAGATTCAGCTCCAGACAATTCTATCCAACTCTGAGGAGGCTCCAGTGGGAGGGGAAAGGGCCCAAGCAGTTAGGAAGAGCCTACTCTGCTCCAGGCACCATGCTAAGTACTTCACAAATACTAAAAACCCGTGGAGGGAGGTGCTGTTTTACATCTGAGGAAACTGAAACAGAGAGCCGCCCAGGCTCTGAGGCCATATCTGAACTCAGGTCTTCCTGCTTCCAGGTCCAGTGCTCTGGTCACTGTACCACCTGTCCCAGAACTGCAGAGACCAGCCTGGTAGAACCTGGGTAGATAGGATCAAAGCGTGATGGTTGACAAGATGGCTAGAGAAGGGACAGAGCTTATGGTAAAAAGCAAATACTGGAAGGACAAATCGCCCACCAAGGTGCCTCCCTCTGCAGCCCGGGGTATCACGGGAGTCCCCTACCCAGGGGCCAAGAATGACCCAGAGCCCATAAAGAAAAGCTGATAATCATGTTCACAGGCTGTGAGAAAGACAGGGAGGCAGGTAACATGTTTTAAAGTGGTTCCAATGGAGGTTAGGGCTCTGATACCTCCATTCCCCAGATCATCCTCCTGGTAGGCAGAGCGACTACTTCCTTAGTCCTGAGAATGCAACTCTGCTGAGGAGCAAGCCCATCCCCCTAGTCTCATAAATCCCTCTCTAATTCACCCCTGCCCCACTGTAGTCTTCCTTCCTTCCTCCATAGAAGCAATACTAGCTTCTCCTGCCCATCCCCCAGGGCAAAATTGGGCCCTGCCCTCAAGGAGCTTGCATTCAAGTGGGGGAGGGGCTCAAGGCAAAGAGGAAGGGAACTCTGCCCTCCCACAAGGCTTAGAAAACCAGGAGTTTACATTATCTCTATTGTCCTGGATTTTGATTTCTTTTGTTGAACATTTTCATCTGGTTCTGCCACTTGGCCTCCAATCCTTTGACTGACTACAGACCTGTCTTACTCTCTAGGGCACCATCTTGCTTCCAGGCCTCCAGGTTCCCAACCTCAGTGGCAGATATTCACTGTCCTTCAAGCCCCAGAACAAGTGCCTAGCCTCTTCAAGTCCAAGTCCTCAGGGTGTGCCTCCCTCTCCTTCTCAGCCTCATCTCACCCTAGGGATACCCCTAGTTCAGGGGCGTCCCACACTGTAAAAGACTGACAGACCCCCTGGAAAGGCTGACCCTTATGCAAACAGAACTGAGAACTTCTGACAAAAGAAATAAAAATGCACTACAACATAGACAATGCTAACACGTGGTTTCCTAAGTTAACATGTGGTCTCCAGGGAGACCTAAGTATGACTTGGTGGCCCCTATGTTAGTGGGAATTTGATCAACAATTTCAAATCTCTTTCTGGAGGCCTGTCCATGGTCCATGCAGACATGCTCATGTTCATACACATCATCCTTCCTCAGTGAACTGCAGTGACTTCCTACTAGGTCTGGAATCAAACATACAATCCTGTGGTTAGCATTTAAAGGCCTTTAACTCCAACCCTCCCACCTGTGCATGGGACAAAAAGATGCATTTGCTACCTATGCTACCAAGATGGCAGATCCCTTGTAAAACCATGCCCTCTGATCAGCTAGTCTTCCCTTAGATCACGGAAATGCTGCAAAGTGTGCTCAGATATTAGCAAAGCCTTCAAGTGAGTCACAGATGACAGGTGGATTTGGAAACACTTAAGGGGTCAAGTTACATAAGCTAGCAGGGAAAGAAAGAGGGCATTTTCCCTAACCTCAACCTCTTAGACCAAAGCACTACATTTAATGCTAATTCATTTGAAGTTGACATTAGATGGAGTGTCTGAAGGGCCTGAAGAAATCTTTTCATTTGGGTTGGAACTTCAGAGAGATTTTGGCTCAGAAACTTTGTAGACTTCTGGGGGGACATTGGGGAACCCAAGTGCTATTTGTGCCCCCTTGAGATGGGGTGACAGGAAAAGCAGAGTCTCCTTGAGGCCTCTTTCCATTTGTTTTGCTATCCATGGTGTTCCTTCTGCCTCAGTCCCTCTGTCCTACAGACATCTCTGGGGACCATGTGGTCACCCCATGGCTGTCCACAGTGCTACTCTGAAAGAAGACTATTAGGAACAGCCTAAGAAACAGGCTGTCCTGAGGCGATGCTGTGAGAGTGAGATTCCAGCCACATGATGGGGAATTCCCTTATGGAAGACACTTCCTCTCTTCTCACAATTCCCTACTATGAGAGATGAACTCTCAGAGGTGAAGCCTCCTCAAAAGGCCAATACTTTTTGACTACTATTTTCAAAATCCTCCCTGCTCAGACCCTGTTTTTAAGCAGGTAACAAAGAATAAGCCCTGCCCCACCCCCAACCTGAGCCTTTTGCCCTTGGCTTCCTGCCTCTTTCCTTGTCTTTGAATTTTGGGCCTGGAATGTAAGCCCACCCCCAGTTAAGGGGGTAAGGGATAGTGGTGGATGGAGACTTGTTTGCATAGTGGGTGGAGACTTTGCGTGGTGGGCAGAGATTTCCTTTTATAAGGCGGCCCTGTTATGTGGTCTCTCTCTCTCTCCAATTGAGCAGACAGCCATCTCTCGAGATTGTAATAAAGGTAACCTTTGCTTTCCACCTTGAGAAGTCCCTGAGTTTAATTTGGGTTAGGGTCGCTGTCCCACACACTACCAGCCTGCTCTTCTCTGGGAATCAAGAAGCTCATGCACCAGGGGCTCTTACCATTCTGGCTTTACTAGGGCTGCTGGCTGTGACCTAGGGCAAATGCCCCACCTCCATGAGCTTCTTCTGGGCTCTTCTCCCAGCTCTGCTTCTCCAAGCCTAGGCCTGAGCTTGGCTCCCTCTACTGCTCAGTGCACTCCCCTCTAGGCCTCATTCAGCAGAAGGGCAGCTGCCCTTTGAACAGAGGGTTTCCACCACAATCTTGACTCTTTTTCCCTGCTACTCAAGCAGGTGGCTTCAAGAGCAACCTCCCTGTGTGGGTAGATAAGAAGCCAGGATACATCCAAGAGAATATTTATTTTTGCATAGACACAAATTAGAATGTGTCCATACCAAAAAAAAAAACAGAAAACAAAAAAAACAAACCTAGAGAATTAAACAGTAGTCTTTGATAAGGAAGAGCTAAGCCATCTGTAGGATCCTATGTGGGGCTGCTCACATCCTAGCTTCCTGGGGAGTTGACAAAAGCAGAGGGAGCAGACTGGGTCTGAGGGGAGAAGGGGTCAGCCCTGTATCTACTGCTGCTGGCCCCTGAAACCTGCAGAAGAGTGGGCCCTCACAGCTGGCTTTTTAAACCAGTGACCAACCCTGTAGTGTGAGGCTGCCTTCCCTCTGATGGTAAGAGGCAGAAAGGACAGCGATGCCACTGGGCGTCAGTGTTTCATGGCCAGCCCCCCCACCTCCAAGCTGGGGCTGCAGTGACTATCACCCTGGGGACCTTAGGAGGCACCCAGGAATGAACAGCTTTTTTGTCTGATGAAAAGGAACTAGCTCTGTGTATAAATACAAACATCTTCATGCTGATAATACAATTGGCCAGGAGGCCCAAAAACTTTGCCCTCCCTCTCCCATCCCAGTCTTAACTCCAAAAAGCTGCCCCCTCAACCTATCCCAATAAACTTAATACCTGCCCATGTGCTAACCTGGCCCCAAAAAACTAGAATCAAAGCTCAGAGTAAGAGCCTAAGAGTCTCCAATGCCTCCAATTTCCCTGCAGAGGCACCTGGGGCATGTCACATCTGCTCCAGGATAGAGGTCAGCATCAGCTCAACACCAGCCTGTGATAGGGACGGGAAAGGCCAATCTCAACAGGATCCTGGCCAGTCCCTTGCCCATCATAGTCACAACCACACGAGCTGGTGGTCCCAAAGGACAAAGCACAGTGACTGAGTTCCAGGTGAGGAGGTGGATGAAGCCATGGCTAGAAGGTGAAGTAGGGTCTCTGGGCCCTTGAGGGGCATCCAGGAGAAACCTGGTACCAGCAGCATAAGGGAAGGCCCTCTCCCAATGGCTCCTGCCTGCAATCTGAAATCTCTCCCTTTCAGCATTATCTAATGCATGAGTAATTCTCTATCTAATAATACTGCCTTTCCCACACACCTGAAACCTTCCAGTCCTCTGTAAATGAAGCCCCAGTGGGTAGAGGGGGCCATCAAGCCATGCCTACACCCCCAGCTGCCATACAGTTTCTGAATGCCACTCCAGGTGATCCTGGGGGCAGAATTTCCCTCAAATCCAGGCTGTTGGCCTTGTCAGAATAAAAAGTCCAGACATTTGTGGTCATTCCCAGGTACTTCCGATTTCAAAGACTGAACCCATCAAGGCCAGTGATAAAAAGAACTATGCAAGGTCCCATGGAGGGCGGCATTAGCCACCTGCTGGAGCATGCCCATGTCGGACTGGCTACCAGTCTGCTCTTTGCAGCTGCCCAATTTGTCATGCCCTTTCTACACCAAATTCCTTGCCCAGAGCCAAGGTGGTGTAAGCTGTTTTTCTGTGGGACTGCTGCTGAGCATAGCAAGGACATCACTAGTCCCTTCCACACCCCAACACATAATACATAAGTATTTCTACACCACTTGGAGGTGGGCAAGGCCTTGCAGAAAGCTGGGACACCTGACCCAGCAGATGATGGGGACTGAAACAGAAACTGCTCAGCTGGCAGTCTCCTCCATATCAGAGAGGGCTTGGTGGGGCAAGGTTGCTCCACAGAGGTGGGCTCCCACCTTCTGTCTCTCTCCCAGAAGTCATAGTGCCCAGAAGGGATTGAGCCTGGGGGTGGGAGGAGCAGGTGCTTGCTGGTGGCTGAAAGAGGTAGGAGTGAAGGTACCGGGCAGGAAGGTGCTAATTGGAAGGCTTGCCTGGAAGTGGTAAATGCAGGTATAATCAGGGTGACCCCAGTTGCTGAAGATAGGAAGCTCTATCAGCTGGTATGGGGCTGTGTCGTTGCCCTGTAAAGAGAGTGGGGTCAGGAAGGCCCAAGATTCCTTGGTGGATACCCCGCCCCATAGCCCTTCTGCCCCAGGATTCCTTTAAAGAGCAGTGGGTAATTCAGTCCCAAGCTTATTCCTCAGCTTCCTATCAGACCCATTGGGGGACCTGGCTTCCACTGCAGCCACCTGCCAACAACAGCAACCCCACAGCTGGTGATCCAGCCCTTGAGATCACCAGCATGCCTGGGTCACTGCTGTGGGACCAGCCCTCCATACCTGAAAGTGGAAGGTCTGAATGGCCTCCCCAGCATTATCATAGGTGAACTGCCCGAGGGCCACTCCCTCCACCTGGGAATCTTCATTGAGCCCCTTCACAGAAGGAAAAACAAAGGGAATGGATGGATGGACAAATGGATGGCTGGGAGTGGGGTGCAGGAAAGGTCATGCTGATAGGACAAGAATCCAAATTAGTCCATGGAGGGAAAAATGGGAGAGGTTTCAGGGGGAGGAGGAGGCAGCCAAGGCAGGATATATTGGGGAGGGGAAAGAGGAGCAAACACAATCCAACTTGATGTTGCCTTCCTTGATCCCCTCACCTGCTAGCATCTCTCTCAGTAATTCAACAGACAGAGCCTTTCCTCTCCAAGGCATTGGCCTTCTTCTCAGCCCCTTCCCCAAAGCTGCTGAATGACTTGGGACAAACCCCTTCAGCGTGTGCGCCTCACTTTCTTCATCTGTACCAGGATTTCGGTCCTGAAGCATCCCTCTCCTCCTGCATATTTCACCTTCTCTTCTGGCTCCATCTTTTCACCTAAATCCTCCTTACATGGACCTTCCATCTCTGCCCTGACTAGGTGTCTGTGTAGGGAATCACCGTCGCTGCCCAACTTGCCCATTGGATACCTGACCATGGAGGCAACTGGCTATAGTAAAGGACCCTAAGACACATTGTAATCTTGACTCTTCTTGTTGCTGTGGTTGTCTTTTCCTGGCTCCTCTCCAAGAAGAAGGGGAGGAGAAGAAGGGCTGGCTCCAAGCCTCAATGTCCCATCTGTAAAATGGGCACATCCTTCCATTCCTCACCTCGACATACTGGTGTTAAGAAAGGGCTTTCTGCACTTCGGGAAAGGAGAGCTTCCAGGCTCAGCTACTCACCAAGATGACAAAGTCCTTGGGGGCTCTGGTGATGTTGCTGATTGGGGACAGGGCTTTGGGCACATGCTCCAAAGTGATGGCAGTGAGGTGGATGCAGGCAGATAAGGGAACGCCAACAAAGCCCTGGGGCCCTGGAACGCCCAGCAGTTGTCAGGGCAGACATTTGGCTGTGTGTAGAAGACAAATCATGTGAAAGGTGGCATACATGGAACATGCGGATCCTGGGGCTCCTCTGCCTTGAGGGCCCAGCCCCCACAAAGGAGGGGGGAGATGGCAGGCAGAGAGCCAAGCTGGGGGACCTTTGTTCAGCCCTACCTGGAAGATGGCTCTTTGGGTCTGGAAACGGTACCACAAGGTGATGCCAAACAGACTGATAATGGCCATCCTGGTGCCAGGTCTTTGAGCTGCGGCTACTGAGGATGCTGACCCCTGAAAGAGCAACAGGGAGAGAAGGTGGGGGAGCACCCAAGGGCTGGCAGGACACGGAGATGGCTTAGGGCAGTCCTCAAGGTGAGGGGGCGCAGCCAGGGCATCAGCTCTCTGAACTGCCCTGGCCTATAAAGGCATCCTGATTTGTCAATTCCTCCTGTCTCACAACAGTTATCCTGATTTTCCATTCCCTCTTGTCCCAAGCCCTCTGGCTTTCTATAAGCCGCCTACCTGAGGACTCCAGGGTGTGGTCCACCAGCCCAATATGATCTTCCCTGTAGAGTTTCGGGCCTGCTGCATGATCTCATGCACTTTCTAGAATACAGACATGCACCACTCTTGGCAGGGCCACCTGCAAGCCTGGCCCAGCCCACGTAGGCGACGGGCAAGCGTGCTACCTGCTTGGCCTGGGCTTCCCCCTCCCTCCTGGCAGGCTCCTCTCAGGGCATACCCATGACCCAGGCAGGAGGACAGGCAGAAGGCCTCACCTCTTCTTTCATCCTGGTTGTCTCTCCTTCCTTCAGAAGGGTCAGCCTCAAGTCAGCAGCAACTTTGCTGGCATACTTGTCCTGCTCCTCTGCCACATGGCGCAGGATTCTTTGCTCCAGGCCCCAAAGCTGGGCCTGTACCTCCTCTAGCTGTACAAGCCTGGCCTGAGTGCCCTGGTCTCCAAGAAATTCCAATGTCTCCCTTTCTTCTTCCCCATCCCCACCTCCTCATTGAGAAGGCAAGCAATTCCATATAGGTTATATATCTGTAGTCATACAAAATACATCCATAACACTCATGTTGTGAAAGAAAACATAGACAAAAAGATTCAAGAAAAATGAAGATAGTGAAAAAAAAGTTGCTTCAATCTGTATTCAGACATATCATCAGTTCTTTTCTCTGGGATGGATAGTATTTGTCATCCTAAGTCCTTCAGAGTTGTTATGGATCCTTGTATTGATGAGAAGAGCCAAGTCATTGACAGCTGATCATCTTACATCTGGCAACCATAGTATGTTAGATAGGTTTGTGTTATTTATGCTAGCAATAGATTAAACATAATTTTTGGAGGACATTATACATTTCAGTCTCATTAATTATAGGAAGAATCAATCAAAACAGAGAAGGCAAAAAAGGAAGCTAGGGTATTAATTGAAAATGGTGCTAACCCATAATAATGTGAGGGTACACAGCTGTGTGGCCTGGAATGAATTTGCATACTCAAACCATCTTCCAGTGGAACAGAAAAGTTTTATTGTAACACTAATAGAGCCAGCATACTTCTTAGGGAACCTGAAACTTAACAAGAGTAATGCTAAAGTTTAGATAGAAAAAGAACAGTGACTAGTGTGCCAAGTATGCTAATTAAATGGTGTTGGGTGAGATTAAGGATTCCTCAATATTCAAAGGAATAAGCAAGAAGCCCAGGTGCCTTGGGCATAGGCGCACTCCTGGAATGAATGGGAACATTCAGGGAGTCAACAGAGATAACCCTGTTGATACCACACATTGGGGGAGAAGGGAGAGGGTAGTTCTGTTTATACAAAAGCTTGACAGAGGCGTGGTCCTTGGAGACCAGGTGCTAGAGACAAGATTCTTGAGTAAGCACCTCTGTGCCGGCACTGATAGTTTTAACCTGAATAATTACATGGTCAGATATGTATGTGTTTGCAACAAAGAAAGAAATTCTCAAAGGGGCCCAATGAGACACTGGGTTGCTTCCAGAGACATAGTCTTTTCCTATGGGGTCCAGTTCCCATCACTCCATCATTCCCCCTCAAACAAATGGGACACAAAATCTTTTGGAGCAAAGGGTGAAGGTCTTGTCTTCTGGAAATGCTTCCTGCTGGCAAGGGGTATAGAACCATCCCTGCCTCTTGGAGTCCTGCGGAGGAGGTTGACTGGAAGTGAGCATAAGCCATGTCCAAGGGATGGGGTGGGTGGACATGGGCTGGTATCTACTGGTCTGTAGGTAAATGGCCTGCAGACTGGAAGACAAAAATCTGACAAGCAAGTTGAATACACAGAGCCCAAATATAAGGAGCAACAAAATAATTAGGAGTAGTGTCAGAATGAGAGAAAACAAATAAAGAAACCAGGAGTCTCATTAGAATCATTTACATTTGACATACAGGATTATCTGATCTTGTTACTTTCTCAAAAGTTACCATTCTGTTTCCAGTTCCTTTAGGAGGATCAGATGCTATTGAGGATTCAATGCTATAGGTAAAAATACAAGTAACAATATTCTTTTTATCATATATGCACACACATATATACATACACACACACACATATATACATACATACAAGCACACACACACACACACACACACACACACACGAGACAATTGGCATTAAATGACTTGTCTAGAGTCACACAGCTAGTGAGTGTTAATACTGAGGCCAGATTTGAACTCAGGTCCTCCTGATTCCAGGGCTGGTGCTCTATCCACTGTGCCACCTAGCTGCCCCACTATCAATATTCTGGCAGGTAGAAATTTTCCACTCTTGGGTTCAATAGTTATACAAACGAATTTGCTTATAAGAGGCTGACTCTACTCCAATTATGATAAAAGACTTGGAAGGATACTTGAGCTTTAAGTTACCACCCTCCAAGAAAATTGATTACACTGAAATTCTCTTTCCCAAATCAAAGGTGCTTCTGATTTAATTTCAATAATTAATAGAATAACAGCTAGATCCTTCAATCAGCTGTACCAATACCAAATTATTCTTACATCATTTTGAAACATTTAAGCACCTTATATCATAGAGACATATACAATAACAGGCGGATGACTAGACCAATTGCTCATTTACTAAGTCGTTTAGGATATGGAAAGGAATGTAATTTTAGGCTGAATTGCTCAGATCTTAAACACAAGTTTTATTATCCCAGCTTTGGCCTATGGGATAACGATTCAGCATTGTGTTTGTACCTTTGTTTCACAAACTTCTTTTCCCTTTGTCTAATTGTTCCCATATCATTCAGAAAGAATGTTCTATTCAAGGAATTTAATCTTTCACGTGACTATGCAGACAGAGAGATGACAAGCCCAGCACTAATTTACCCACTTATGGAATGACCACACATTCAGATCAAAACAAGAAGACCTCACATACTTGCACTGTACTCACATTTTTTACTAACCACTTCCTCTGATTATACAAATCTGCTATAATAGAAAAAAAAATAGGAGTATGATTATACTAAATATGACAGGTTTAAACATCCTTAGCTCTATTTGAATTCAGAGAAGAGTCACATTTTTCCAACCATGCAGTGTCAATTCCACCTCTATGCCAGACTCAGGAATAGTCAGGTAGAAAACATTCCTTTTCAAAGGAACACCATGGGGAAACTGAGCCAGGAGGATCCCACCTTAGATTGAGGCTAAGGTTGTCCTCTCCACTTTTCCCAGATGCAAATCTCCACTTGTAACAGCTCAGGATCACTTTCCCTCCGAGTAACACGTGGCATTTCTCTCAGATCCTGATTGAGTGCAGACAACTATACTCAAATTCAAACTTAAAAAAAAAAATTAGTTACATTCCCAAGAGCTTTTACCTCAAATAGTAAGTTTCATTAATCATAGCTTGGGGCTAGATACAATTATTTTTACTCTAATGGAGTTGCAATAAGCAATAAAAATTTATCAGAACTCAAATCTTAAATTTAAATTTGTTCTGATGTAAAAGCCAATCGTTAGAGATCATTTAAATAAACTTGCAAATTTTCAGCAAGCCTAGTTCATTGGGAGCTCCATATACCAAACAAGCACTTCCCAGGGTTGATAAAATAACATACATGGTTTTGAATAATTTCCCACTATCTTTTAGTTCCTTTCATTTCATACTCTAATAACATCCAAGTTATGAAAAGTTGCTTGACATAATTGATGCAAACATTGACCAATAAAACAATATTATGTACTTGAAACTTGAAACAAACCCATTACTAATCAGGTGACCTCTCTTCTTGAATGCATTTCCAAATCATCACATATAAAAATTACTGATAAAAGGTTGGGTTTAACAAAAGCAGAGAGTGGCTGGCTTCTCCCTTCATACTGCCTTGACCTATCCCTTTCTTTTCTCCTGTCTCTCTTCCTGCAGCTGCTGGGGAGGGTGGGCAGGATATTCTAGGGGGTGGGCTGCAGAGTCCCCAGGGGCCCAGGGCCATTGCCAGTGGGGCTGACTTGGTTTAGGGGTGATGGAATCCCCAAAATGTCAGGGCACAGGGCTGTGTTGCCTGGAATGAATTCACATACTCAAACTTGCAAGTTGATGAGGATCATGCTAAAGCTTATATGCAGAAATGGTCAGTGAAAGAAATGCCAAGTATGTTAATTAGGGTATCTGAGGTGGGATTAAACAGTTGTCCAGGTGCCTTGGGTGCAGGCACGGGTGGTCTGGACTCCTAGAATGTATAGGAAAATTCAGGGACTCAGCAGAGATTACTCTGTTGATACCAGATATTGGGGGAGAAGAGAGACAAGATAGTTCTGTTCACACAAAGGCTTGCCAGAGGCATGGTCCTTGGACAAGCACCAGAGACAGAGTCCTTTGGCCAGCACCCTAGAGCCTGGACTGATAGCTTTTATCAGGTCTGTGTGTGCCTTCAACAAGGTAAGAATTTCCCACAGAGGCCCAATAGACACTAGATTGCTTCCAGAGACCTGGTCTTTTACTTTGAGGTACAAGTCCCATCACCCCATCAGGACCCCTACTGTAGCTGCTGCCCTCCTACCTCCTTTCTTTTGGCAGATGAGGGAAGGTGACTCATATTCCCTACTATTTTCGCTTAGTCTGATCTGGGATGAGGGGTTAACAAGAAAACATGGGGCTGTTTGCAATCCCCATAATATATACCCTCTTGATTCAGGGGAAGGGAGTGGGGAATGCTTTGTGTTTGGATTGTGAGAAGGTGTTTCAAAAGGGGATGAACTCTGGAATTATCCTAATGTCTCAGGAGTTTCTCTTTCAATCTTAAAATGGTCAATTTCCAAGTTCCTTAATGATCAATCTCAAAACCTGAAAAATCTGATAAGATGCTTTTAGCTGTTCTAATTTTTCACTGTAGCCTCAGCCTAGTCCGAGCTGAGACCACAGGGCGAAGAATCGTAAGAATTTCTTTTGAACTTCTACTCGAATAAACTTCATTTGTATGTCAACCCCTTAAAAAGTTAGAGCTGGGCCTTGAACCTGCCCGACAGGTGAGTTGGGGCCCTGGAAAAAGATCCTGTTGGTGCCTAATCCCCTCCCTCACACTGCAGAGCTCAAGGCTTCAGTTGTAATGCATCTCTTTTTAAGACCTTGTAAGCAAAATTTGTTCCCTTTTTGTAGGAGACTGCCTAGTCAGAATCACATTGCACAAAAACTTCTTTTTTTTTAATATGAGGCAGGAAATGGTCAAGTGCTAGTCAATCTACCTCTCTTTGATCTGATGGGAAAAGGTTACCCCTTACTTTTTTTTTTCTTGTCTGTCCCTCCACATTCAGAACCTGGCCAGAGTTCAGCAATGTGTGTGTTTGAGAGAGAGAGAGAGAGAGAGAGAGAGAGAGAGAGAGAGAGAGAGAGAGAGAGAGAGAGAGAGAGAGTTAGTTTACCAAAAACTTTTTCTTTTCAAGAAAGTTTATCTATGTTTTCAGTCTGGCTACAGCCCTTAGAAGTATCTCTTGCTGGCTGGCTGCATTTTAAATCCTACAAGGTGTCAGATTACACACATAGACACTCACACCACACAGAGACACAAACAGAACAGACAAAAATACCAAACAGAGTGATACAGATAATGATGAGGAAAGTTCGAAAGCTCAGAGAAGCTTGTCAGAAATACCCCGCATACATCAGACAATTTTTTTCTTGGTCCTCTAGATCATACTGAGGCAGGCACAAGGCATTCCTTTTTAAGGTCTTGGAAACACAGATTTGTCCAGTTCTGTAAAAGATAACCTAGGGACAAATCTCAGGAAAGTCCTGCTCCTCTTGAAGGAGGGATTAGAGTGTGAGTGAGAAGGATCCAGCAGGCATAGGAGTGGGGACTTCTGGGAAATTGAGTCCTGCCCTGAAACTAAAAGAGAAGGCAAATCTCAGGGTATATAAGAATTATATATATTAGCAAATAATTATACAATGCACTACTAATTTTCAGTCCACAAATCATACTGTGGTAAAACACGTATATAATGATGGAGTCTGTTACATGGGATTTCTAACTAGCCAAGCAATGGCCCAAGTGTAGCCAGAGTACTAAATCATGGTGCTAGATGGCAGAAAATGTTATTGAACATCACATGCCATTTAGAGACAGCATTGAAGTTCTGCAGGACATCAGGTATGGCAGACAGAATGGAGAGAGTCTATCACTTGAAGAAATCTTGACAGGTCATGGCACAAGTACAACCAACAACATATGGATTTACACACTGGGCCATAAACAGCCCACCACTGAGACCAAAGGACCCACAGGATGAGCTTATATTTTATTTATTTTGACAGAAGGAAAAGCAGCAGCACATGTTCATCAGGGTGAATATGCATCGTTTCTGTATTCTCAAGTCCACTGATTCTGGAGCCGAATAAACAGTATGAACGCTAGTAATGCAGAGAATACACATCACATCATGAATGGAGAAAAAGCAAAGGAGAGAAAGGGGGGGAAGTAGGAGCCAAGGCCAGTTACAAAATAACTTGTCCTCTTCCCCTATGCAGAAATTTCCTTATCCTTTGAGGGTTGAACTAAATTCAATAAACACAATACTTCGAGCTTCTGCTCTACATTAGATGTTAAAAACAAAGCCAACTTGGAAGATCTAGTCTAATGGAAGCCAGCAACAGTTTGATATAAACTAATATAGAGAATCAAAATATCTGTTGTTGGAAGGGACCTTAACAATCATGGAGTCCAGCCTTGCAATCAATGTAAGAATTGTTTTTGCGCCACAGTAAGAATCTACTTGAAGGGAATTGTCTCACAAGAAGTCCATTTCGTTTCTATAAAATTTGTTTTTCCTTATACAAGTCAAAACCAGGCTCCTCTCATCACTGATTTTAGCAGTTTCTTCTACAGATACCCAAGTCTTCACAATGGCCCTTCACATAGTTGAAAACAGACATCATGCCTTCCCTTTGTCTTCTCTATCATTCTTAGTTCATCCATATCTCTAGTGTCTGAACTGATTAATGTCCCTCCTAATATATAGCATCTATAAGTAAATACAAAACATAAGTAAACACAAACAAGTAAACACAGGGTCCCTTCAGCCCAGAGCTGAATGGGACTATTATCTTCTGTGATTTAAACTCGATTTTTCTATTTCCACAGCCTTAGGGTATGTTTAACTCTTTTAGCAACTTATGATCAATGAAAACTGACATATCTTTTCCCAGTGAACTGCCGTAACCCCCTCCTTCCCATGGTTCATAACAGCATCAACAAGGCAACTGAAATTGTGCAGAGGCTGGCCTTGAACCCAGGGCTTCCTGGCTAAGGCCAGGGTCACCCTCCATGTCCCAGGCTCCCTGTGCCATACAAAAAAGGGAAGGGAGAATCAGAAGAAAGAGGAATGGAGACTGCATGTGCATGGTACTGGTTATCAGTCTCGGGTTCACGGAATCATTAAGGGCTGGAAGAGACTTGGGAGGTCATCTAGTACAAAGTCTTCATTTTACACAAGAAGAAACTGAGGCTCAGAGAGGAAGGGCTTTGCCCATTTTCACAAAGGGAAACAACAGAGCAGGTTTCCTGGATTCGAGATTCGAACCTCAATCCTTTGAATCCAGATGCAGCAGGCTTCCCATCTGGCCACACCTGGTCCCCATCTACCCCTCTCTAACTTCCCCCCCACCATGTTTCCCGTTTCAGGGGGACACTTGGAAGAACCTCTAGCACACGGAAGCAGCCAGCCTGGAACTCTGCCACCCCCGCGATCTCGAGCTGGGAACCCCTCCCGCAGAGTTAAACCGCCCTGCACATGCGCACTCACTCCTGACTTTACCTTTGGGCCCATGCGCGGGACCCGCGGATCTGACAGACGCATGCGCAGTTCAGGCCCCCTCGCGGCTTTCCAGGGCTACAAGCCTCTCTAGGGTTGAATCTTTTACACTTGTGTGCTCTGGGGTCTCTCAACCTCCAGCCTCCGGCCGTGGAAGTTTTCTAGAGCGTAGGCGAGGGCCTGGAGAAGCTGAGAGGCCAAGGGAGAACCCCTTGCGAGCTCTGCAGACCCTCTCTGAAGCCCGCTGGCAAAATGAAAATGGTTTTCAGCTTGGGCAGCAAGAGAGAGCTGCCTCCCTCTCGAGCCTCCTTACCCCCGCGGAGGGAGAGCGGGGTCCGAGCTTTGGGTCCGAGCTTTGGGTCCGAGCTTTGGGCCCCAGAGCACGATCCCTCCTCCGGGTCAAGGACCTGGCGAAGATCCACAAAGCTGCCTCCATCGGGGATGTGGCGAAGGGGCAGCCGCTGCTGCTGCTCGGGAAGTCAGGCGGAATGGTGTGGATAAAGTGAGCCTTGATGGAGTCCTCGCACCCCGGCCCTAAAACCCACGTCTCTGGCAGTAGCCCATGAATGGGCCCCGGTGAACAAACTCTCTTTCCCTGTTAGAAGAAGACACTGACTTCTGTAGAATTTCCCTCGTATGAACAGAACTATCTCTACCGACTCCTCAGTTACCGTACACATTCCAGACATCAAGATGTACGTCCTCTCCTGCGGCTATTTGGTGTTACAGGACACTGACTGTTAACAGACAGGACGCTCCCGACCCTTAGTTAGTGACAGCCGCAGATCTAAAAGCACACCCTTCAGTAGGCCCTCCCCCTTCTCGCTGTGAATTCTGGGTAAAACGCCTGTGCACTAAGTACAAAAATTGCATGTTCCTTTAAGAACTGACCACTCCCTAACCCTGCCCCTGGACGACCTAATGAGCATATTTCTGGACTTGCTATCCAATCTCCAGGAGGCAAAGCTTGACACTGACCCTGATTGGAGGCGCTGCCGTGAAGCAGGTACTGAAGGGAATAGTTTTCCAAGGGTTAGTGGAGCCACCAGGACCCACCTCCAGGCGAAGGCGGGGTGGGGGGCGTGCCTTAGGCTCCTCCAGGGGGCCCTTCCCTTCTCTCCTCCCACCCTCTCTGCAGGTTCCTTTTATCCAGCTCTTTCAGGCCAGACTTCCTGTGCAGCAGCGCCCCTTCTTTACATCCCCAGTAGAGGCAGTTGTGTGGATCTTCCCGGGTCATGCGGATACGTGTTATACTGTGTATAATTTGTGGACAGAAAATTAGTAGAGCATGGTATAATTATTTGTTCATATATATGTATATATATATATATATATATATATATATATATTATTGGGGAGAGGTATATATATATATATATATGTTTCTTATTGGGGAGAGGTATATATATATGTATATATATATTTCTTATTGGGGAGAGGGCCAATATATGTGTTACAAAAAACACTAGCTGATATCAATGGGGAAGGAGAAATTAGTAAATTAAGTTTGTTAAGATTTCAAATATAGAGGCAAATCACTAATTAAAACCTCAAGACTTAATGACAAGTGTTTGGCTGAAAGCTAGTATGAAATTTGTGGAAGCTGAAAAATATTTTCATAAGGTTTTAATGAAGACCAGATGAAAACTAGATGAAAATGGACAAATAATTCCTATTACAATTATCATTATTGTTGATACTAATAGCTCCCATGTACCTAGTTATCTTGTGATTCATCCAGAACTTTACTTTTTTATCTCCATTTTTACAACATTCCTGTGAAATAGACAGCTGAAATATGGTTATCTCCCTTTCATGGGTTGGCACACAGCTAATAAATGACAGGGGCTAGATGTGAACCCAGTTCCTTGGATGTCAAATCTAATAAAGCCATGTATTGTAAAGTGTCTCATTGGTTTTCCTTTTTATAGAACACTTATGTGTAATATGTGCTCTTTTCCCCATCTGTTTTGAGACTATGTAGATTCTGTCTATGTAGGATTGACTCTACATATGTGAAGTCTTCCCATTGATTCTCAAGCCAGAACTTAGCTAGGTTCCAATTAATGCAAGTAATGAATCTTATTAATTAGTCTCATTGTCCAGATTGAAACTACATGTCTGCATTGGGCTGGAAACAACTGCCACATTTTACATAATTATAACTTCACATAGTGTGAATACATGAGACAAATTCAGGGAAATCATTATTTATTCTACTCAAGACTTATCTGTATACCCACAGTTCTGGCTAAAGAACCCATGGGGAGGCTCACATGCCTGCCCTTCCCCCCCAACAAAAATGTTGCTTTTCCTTTATGGTTTCCAATCATGAGGACTCTTCAAAGCGTCATGGTAGAGTGCAGTAAGGGAATGATGGAAGCTGGGCATCTTCCAGAGTCACTAGGTGACTGAGTAGCAACCTCAAGATGGATGAACCCAGGTGACCTTGTAAGTTTCAAAAGGTCATGAGGTCCTGGGAGGCTGTGGCTGTAGTGTCTACTGAAGTGGTCGGTTGTGGTGGCAGCAGCAGCACCAAGAGTGATCTGGAGCACAAGAATTGGCATTTGAGAAAGAGGAGGCACTGGAAAAGATCTGCTTTGGAGATCTGTGTGTATACCTGTGCATGTATGTACACACACACACACAACACACACACACACACACACACACAGAGTGTTTGAACCTGTTCATGAAAACTGCAAAAAAAAAAGTGAAATACCTAATGAGATGAACTGTCAAACTGATTTATGTGTCAAGACTTGTTCTCAGCCATCTGACAGAAAACTACAAGCTGCAAGTTGGCTATGAGGTGAATTTCCAAATCCTATTAATGTTACTCTTTTAATGAACGCTGTAATTCCCAATCTTTCCCATTATCTGATGCATGGGAAAGCATCTTTACTTTCTCACTTCCTGTGGAAAACCCTAGATAATAGACAAAAGAAACATTACTGTAAATGGCAATTTTTCCTGTGAAGCAGGAGGTGGAGGGAGAGTGAGGAGCTGTTCTAATAGCTTCCAATTCCATAGCTTCCTTCAACTATTTGAAAGTCAGGCTTCTCCCAGAATTGAACCCTGGGAAAAGGGTGTTGGCAGGTAAAGGACAAACATTTGTGCTTGTTGAGATTCTTTGTGTCTTCAGCCAAGGGTGATCTAGCTAGCCACTGTACTCAATATGGGGATTTTGGCACAATTTTGGGACCCTTTGCATTTGTTGGGTAACTAGGGGGCACAGTGGGTTGAGTGCAGGACTAGGAATCAGGGAGACTTTAAGTCCAGCTTCAGATACTTATTAGCTGTGTGATGCTGGACAAGTCATTTAACTTTTATTTGCCTTGGTTTTCTCATCTGTAAAATGAGGACAATAGTAGCAACCTGCCTCCCAGGGTTATTTTCAGGATCAAATGAGATATTTCTAAGTGCTTAGTGTAGGGCCTGGCATGTAGTAAGCACTATATAAGTGTTAGCTGTTATTATTCTTATTCTTCTCATTATCCTTATTGCAGGGATTCTCCACAGAGGACTCTTAGAAAATTGGTGGGAGGCTTCCCATAGAGAGAGTCTAGCATGGACCAAAATAGTTACCTTTCTGTTATTGCTTCTAGATTTCCTTTGACTCTTTTGTGTATTTCTTTCCTGTAGCACTGACCTTGAGAATATAATACGCTCCTAGAGGTAACAGAAGCAAGAGATTATGCCAGAGTGATTATAATCACAGAAAGAGGAATGAGCTGGTGCCAAGGGAATCATGGGGAAGAAAGGAGAGAGAAACTGAGAGAGGAACAGACAGGCACAGAAAGAGAGACAGAGACAGAGACACTGAAAACCAGAAAGAAAATTTAACTCAGTGTTAAATTATCTTGTGTCTTGTGAAGGTGAAATGTATTGAGCTGATTAGCCACGCTGCAAAAACTGAATATTAGGTTACTAAAGTGTCTAATAGTGATATATTACTGGATTCTAGTCTAATCATTCTTTGATTCTTTATTACTTAGCATTTTCTTTTCTGTCTGGGAATAAAGCTGCCTGTTCCATGTCCATTTTTTTTTTTGTAATTGTGGTTCTTTACTTCTTACCCCCGCCTCAAAAATGTTTTCCCTGGTCCAGCTGCCATGCCTCTCTTCATGCCAGCCTCTCTCTATGGCATCTGCAGCAGCCAGCTGTCTTGTCCTCTTCTGGAGAGCCAGATGTGAGGTCTCAGATGCTTGACAAATAAAGGACTGGTCGAGTGGGTGCCTGTTGAAGAAGCGGGAAGGTTCATGTCTAAACTAAAAACAAGAAAAGACCTCTAAAATACTCTTAATTTGGGGGCCCAGGAAAGAAACCATTCAAGGTTTCAATCATTCATTCTTATTGTCTGAACGGTACGGGGGTAGAGAAAGCAAAATACTGTTGTATTTGGGGGTCCCCATTTGCTGGGAAAATCTGTGGGCTTTAATTGGACCCCTTAGAGGAGGAAAGTTGTGTTAAGGATGCATAGTGCCAAAAGCTGCAAAAAGTGATAAAACATTATAGCTGTTTTAGCACAGAATATTCAAATCACACAGCGGAAAGAGTGAATTTTTTGTTTTCAAAGAAAAGACAAAGACAATTGGAATTGATATAAGCACTGTTTTTTGTTTTGTTTTATTTTTGTAACAGGGTTTCTTTTAGAGTTTCCACACCTTCCTATCCACTTTTTATATTGGGAATTTTGAATATCTGTGTTCACCAACTGTTACTGTAGTACTCAGATTTTCTAACAAACTTAGGATTCTTTATATGGGCTTAAAGTTGCAACTTATATACTTTCCTAAAGAAATATTTTCTTAATCCTGTTTTATCAGGTACAGTTGCTGTAATTACATCTGATAGCAGGACGATTGTGGTAAGTATTCCGTTCTATACTATTGTATCATCCCAGAAACTTTTATTTGTAGAATACCTGTATCACCATGAGATGGCATGATATTTTTACATTTATTACATCATTAGCTTAGCATTATGGATAAAGTATTGGTCTTGGTATCAGAAAGACCCAGAATCAAGCCCTTCCCTCTGACTCCTATTATCTGTTGGACCATAGAAAAGTTGCTCGCCAAACCTCAGTTCTCTCATGTGTAAAAGATATATATATATATATGTATATATGTATATATATACATATATGTATATATATATATATGTATGTATAAAAAAGAGATGTATATAAAAGGCTCTCCAAACCTCAGTTGTCTCATGTGTAAAAGATATATATGTATGTATGTAAAAAAGAGATGTATATAAAAGGCTTTCCAAACCTTCAAGTTCTCTATTAATGAGAGCTGTTATACTTTTCTCATAAACTATATAAATTCTAGAATATTTGCCTTCTGCATTCCTCTCACTCTGTTCTTAACCTTCTGCAATCTGACTTCCAACCTCAACCAACTGAAATCACCATCTCCAAAGTTGCCAGTTATCTTTTATTTGCCAAATCTAGTGCCTTTGTTCAATCCTTACTCTTCTTGACCTCTACCACATTTGGCACTGCTGGTTACTCTCTTCCCCTAGATACTCTCCTTTCTGGGATTTGTGGCCTTGTTGTCTCTTGGTTTTCCTCCTACCTACCAGTCCTTCGCTGGATCTTCATCTATGTTACATTCCTTAACTGGGTATTCCCTGTGGTTTTGTCCTGCTTTTGGTTCTCTTTTCCCTGCATCATCTTTTTTTTTTCCTGTTCTCCCTTCCCATCTCACTTTGTGATATCATCTAGATGCCAATGATTCCCAGATCTCTATATCTTGCCATAGTCTCTCTTCTGGGCTCTAGTCTGATATGACCAGCTGCCCTTTGGACATCTTAAATTATGTTCTCTAAGCATGTGAAGCTCAGCATGTCCAAAACACAACACATTACATTTTCCCCAACCTCTCCCCTCATTGTTGCAGCATCATCCAGACTTGTAACCACAGTGCCATCCTTGGTCTCTCTCCCTCCACATATCCAACACATTGCCAAATCTTCTCATTTTTTCCCCTTTAT